GGACCCACCTACACACGGTTTTGTTTTTTTTTTCCTTTTTTTATTTTTTTTTTCCCTCCTTTTAAGATTTCTCTTCTATGTTAAAATATCATTTCCGCTTTCGATCTAAAAAAAAAAAAAGAAAAGAAAAACTGGATATGGACAAACAAACGTACCTCGTACTATCATTTAAATTATAAAAATATAATGAAATAAAATTGTTGAAACGACAAAACGCAATTCATTTATAATAAAGTAAAATGAATGTCATGTAAAATTTAATTGTTTAAAATGAAAGGAAATTAAGATATAACTTAAGGTTTAAAAAAGAAATGAAATTTCTCTCGGAAAGGAGACTTTTAGTCGCTTAGTATACCTTTTTTAAATCCCTCGCGTGGCAAAATGTATGCGCATTGTCTCGCGCGATACAAGACGGACTACATGCAAAAACCTATGTTCAATGTCGACGGCGAATAAAGACGTCGTTTGGTGAGGCGCCTAACTCCCACGTACATCTTGTCGCGCCTTGTCGAGAGCTTACACGCGTGCACGTTAGCGATTGGTGTCTCTTCTTCGGGGTCACACGACACGCTTCTCAAGAAAAACAGAAAGAAAAAGAGAGAAAGAGAGAGAGAGAGAGAGAGAGAGAGAGAGAGAGAGAGAAAGAAAGAGAGATCTTATAATATACCTACTCACACGATGCGTATGCATTTAGGGAATCTGGTTTCACGAATCGTTAAGTTGGTAGTGAATATCACGTAACACGATTCCCTTTTCCCGTATTTTGTTTCCATATTTGCCAACACTTTATTCCCAATAAATTTTGCAGCCGATATCATGGTAAGCAAAGCTAAGCAAGCCGGTTCTCTTCCAATGCTTCGAAAATATTATAATCGGCCTGACCAAAAACCGGATCGGAGTTGAGATCTACCACGTAAAGCGCGGTGTTTCCGATAAGCTAATCTTTAATTCATACGACAACGAAACGTCTTCTCTTTTGACGTTCGATGAACGCACGCGTTATCTATCACGCGTCCTTCGTCATATTCCAGACATCATTTCTCTATCTTTTATACTTATTCACGGATTAGAATATTCTTGTAAAGTTATTCGCACGAAAAATGATATACGATACGGCCAATTCATTATATACGTAGATCGTAGACAAATCGAAATCATCTCGGATAAATTATTTCCAATATTAAGATAATAATATGATTTCAGATATCGGTAGCATATCTTATCGGAAAGAAACCTTAGATTCTATCCACTATTCTCGACACTTCATTACTTTATAATTCTTTCTTATCTTCGTAAAATATGTAGGTACATATATATATATATAGAAAGAGAGAGAGAGAGAGAGAGAGAGAGAGAGAGACACGTACGTAAATACATCGAGAATATAATCTACCTCGTACGAACTAACTCGCTTTTCGAGAATTCTATATCGCTATACTCACCCAATGACTTTATATTTCAATTAATAAAGAATTTCCACGAGCTAAAATTGCTAAATCGAAAGTCATATCTTTTACGAGAAATTATCAACGATAAAATTATCTCATATCATGAAACTGAAATAACATACTATCAAATTAATCGTACAACACTATTGTACTACATCAGTACACGCATGATATTCGTAATTTCCATCGTACGTTGTATGATTTTACAATGCTTTTGTATTGTCGTATCGACCCTCTTCTCTGTCTCCCCCACCCGCCCCTCACCCCCACCTACTACTATCTTGTCGATCGATCTTTGCCTTGAATCTTAGCTCGTTAAATTCTTACGATCATGAAAGAGCAATTAAATCGATAAAGAAACGAACACTGGAAGCAAAGGCTGAAAATTGTAAGAAAAAAGGAAAAAAAAAAAAAAAGGGAAATAAAGATATAAAGAAAAAGAATTGATTTTACGCGATCAAGAAATTTACCAAGAAGCTTTGTTTCCTGTTTGTAGAAATCCTGAACTCTCCAATATCCTTGGTCACACCGGACCGTAAATATGTTAATACTATCTCTTAAAAACTTGAGTTAGCCATACATAACAGCGTAAAGGAAATAAGGAAACGTCGTTAACCTTCCACGCATTCTCGATCCAAAAATAACAACAGGACAACGTACCTCCGAAGAAATCGGACATTTTTACGGCACGTTTCCTACGCGTTGCAACTCTTCGAAGATATGTCCTCGAAAAAGCACGAAGGATCGATACCTTCGATCTTCTCCGATTCTTTGGAAAGAGTCAAGAAATTCGAGGTAAAATGGGAGTCGAGTTTGCCGAATAAATCCACTCGATACGAGCCCAACGACCTCGAAAGGATTCTCTTCGCAAGAGATGCGAAATGTTAAAGGAAAAAAAAAAAAAAAAAAAAAAAAGAAAAAAAAAAGAAAAAACGGAGAAAAAAAAAGGATGTCGTACGAAACGGAAAGGACACTAACCTTAGACGCTTTTAAGTGCCAATTTTTCTTGACCTTGCATTCAAACTCTGTATTTCTCTCTCTCTCTCTCTCTCTCTCTCTCTCTCTCTCTCTCTCTGTTTGTCTGTCTGTAAGTCTGTCTCCCTTTTTTCTCGTTGTTCGACCGAGTTCAAGGATATCTAGAATATTAAGTGGCGCCTAGTTTACACCTCTCATCTCAACCAACTTCCCTTCTTCTCGTTTCAACCACGAAAGAGTAACCAATCCGATCCCATCAAGGATGCCGTTAATTACGCGAAGCGTATGCATCAAGCCGCAAACCGGACGTCATTCCGTCTTTCCCGCTTGAATAGATCGATGAGCTTGATCGATACCGTTCGATCTATCTTCTTCGATCCTACCTTCGGTAAAAAGATACACAACGTATAATAGCATTTTTTTTTAATTTTCTCATCAATCTTTCCGATCCCTACTTTTTCTTTTTCATTTTCTTTCTTTCTTTCTTTCTTTCTTTCTTTCTTTTTTTTCCCTTTCTTTCTTTCCTTTCCTTTCAGTTTTTCTTTCCTATTTTTATTTGTTTCTTGTATTTATTTTTCTTCTTTCTTTTTTTTTTTCAATTTCTTGTTTTTCTTTTTTCTTTTTTTTTCTTTTTCCTTTTTTGTACTTTCCTTCTCCTTTTTTTCGTTTGCGTTGGGAAAAAAAAAAAAGTACAACGAGCCTGGGTAAAAAAAAAAAAAAAAAAAAAAAAAAAAAAAAGTAAACGAGCGGGGGACAAAATTTTAACGCTTCTTCCGACGATGTTAATATCGTGGTGTCGTCTTTATAAATGGCTCGATCCACGTACATAAGTCGACGTCGATATAGTATCTTCCGATACGTTTCGTTCCCCGTGGCGAAGCATTGGAGTTGAAGAAGAAGAAAAAGAAAAAGGAAAGAAAAGAAAGAAAAAGAAAAAAAGAAGAAGAGAAGAAAGAAAAAAAAAGAAAATATTGCATACGTATGTATGTACATAGGTATGTATATATATATATATATATATATATATATATATATTTATATTTATATATATATATATATATATATATATATGCGCACGTATGTACATGCGAACTTGCGAGCGCCAACTCGCGACGTTCTGTAAATCATTGGACGTTTACTGCGGTTAATTAACAGTCCTGAACCGACATGCCAGTTCGCTGCTCCTTCGCATGCTGCGCCGCGTTCTCACCACGCGGAAAAACCGCGGTCTAATGCGACCGAGAAAAGAAATCGATATAATAAGTATATGCACATACGTGCGTGCGAAAATCGAAAGTTCACCGACACCTTAAACACGATCGATACGATCTCTTTCTTACTTTTGTCTTTCTCTCTCTCTCTCTCTCTCTCTCTCTCTCTCTCTCTCTCTCTCTCTATCTCTCTTTCTTTCTCTCTTATTCATTTTTGCCAAAAAATTTATTCGTCGTAGAATTTCGTGAACAAGGCCGACCATAACCAAGCAAATTACTCGCGTTCGCGTGCTCGACCTATCGTGATATTCCAGAACTTGGAGAGTATGTAATACGATTCTTGACTATATAGCCCACGTTTTACGACCTAATTTAGTGGTCGAAAATATCGTGGGGGGAGAAGAAGCAAGGACGATAAATTTTCAACGCGATTTTTGTCCAGCGCATTTTGCACGTTGTCTCTTCGACGTTATCGAAAGAATTTTCGGAAGCTGATCGAGAATAAAGTTTACCATGAAATCAAAGGCAAAACAGAGAGAAAGAGAGAGAGAGAGAGAGAGAGAGAGAAAGAGAGAAAGAGAGAAAGAGATAGAACGGGGGCGGAGAGAGAGAGAGAGAGAGAGAAAGAGAGAGAAAGATAATAAATAAAAATTATAAAAATCGATTCTCGATTTTTACGGATCGATAGATCGAAGAATCAGCCTTAAGGGCAATGCAATTCGAAATATCCTGCAGCAGCTGGCAAACGTGAAATACGATTATCATTAAACTAGATATGGCCGATCGTTCGAGAGAGCGCGAGTAGAGCCGACTGTCTAAGCTTTTGTGTCGTATATGCCTGTAAGTCGGGTAGATCGCTGAGGGCGCCCACACCAGGTAACAAACCGTGCGACACGATCTACACACCTCTCTTTCCTTCCTCTTCGGCTTACCAGGAGACGAAGGTGCTACCTGTGGCGCCGTCCTACCTTGGCACAGGTTATCGTCTTTGCGTACCGGAATTATGTTCCGTCGCAAAATACATCGAGATGTGATAATAGATCGACTTGCTCGTTTCGATGCGAAAGCAACAAAAAAGAAAAAAAGAGAGAGAGGAGAGAGAGAGAGAGAGAGAGAGAGAGAGAGAGAGAAAAGGAAGACAAGGAAAAACAATCTGTTAAATATCAAATCACAAGTTTTGATAACAATGTCAAAGAAAAAAGAAAAAATAACGACGATGATGATGACAAAGAAGAAGAAGAAGAAGAAGAAAAAGAAGAAGAAGTGGAGGAGATGGAAAGAATATTAGGTATAAAATAGATCTAATTGTTTTACTATCGACGCATATATATAAAAATTCAATGGAATGTATTAACAATCTACTTACTTCATAACGCTATTTTGTGGTGGTACCCTCTTCCCAGGTATCATAATCTTCTCATGCTTCACACCGACATTTGTGAATTCCTACAAAGGAAAAGAAGAAAAAGAAAATAAAAAAGTCATAAATATAATGTAAAAAAGACTATTATCATGTTTATTCATAGAACATTACAAAGGTATGTTTAATATTAAAGGAATTCTACGAGCGATACGACGCATTATCCAAAAATCGCACCTACGATTCGATCATTACGCTCTTATCTCTTAACATATCCAAATCTTAAGATAATATTAATTATCTTTCTTAATTATTATGTCGAAGAGTCTTTAATTATTAATAATATGAATAATTATGCGACTCTGAGTCGTGTTATTCTGATGAGATATACCTTTGTTATGCCGATGAAATCACTAGAAGTCGAAGAAAATGAGAGAGAGAGAGAGTGTGTGTGTGTATGTGTAAAGGAAAAAAAGAGATAGATAGATCAGGAATGAAGGAGAATATTTGTAAGGGAAAAAGGAACGATACGATGAACCGAACGAAATGAACGAACTGTGTTCATGGGTGTTCATATCTTAGATGACTACATCGCCGACTGGAACCATATACTGTGATGAACTGTGAGAGAAGAACAGAGATAGAAAAAGAAAGAGGAAGTGAGAGAGAGAGAGAGAGAGAGAGAGAGAGAGAAAGAGAAGATGGTATAAATATTCATGAAGTTCTCTATTATCTCGCGTCCCGATATGTTCTCGCTTACTGTAATTATTTATACGCATGATACGTACAATTTAATGAGCCACGAAATATAATTGTGAATTATATTAAAACGAATACAAACGATTACGGGATAACAACTGGCACACGATAGATAGTTCGACGTCATTAAATCAATTATATTCTACAACGTATACGATACGCGACGATTTCACTGTCGATCCTGTGAACTAAAAGTCCGAACTAAAAGAAAGGTGACATCTCACTTCTCGATTGTCCTCTTTTATCGTGTCTCGTACTCTTCTCTTCTTTTCTTTTCTTTTCTCTCTCTCTCTGTCTCTGTCTCTATCTCTGTCTCTGTCTCTGTCTCTGTCTCTCTCTGCTTGGCATGGCACAGCTACAGGTTGTCGTAACCGAAACCCGTTATAAACGATATCATCCAACAGTTATCACTCGTTTCTCCACCCCGATGACGGATCACGTCATTATAATCGATCTTTCTAATTCTTCTTATTTGAACATTAGAAACTCTATCCCGGTGGCCGGCCTAATGGCTGCATCGAGCTCGAGCAGAAGCTCCTTTTCTATCTCACTCTAACCGCCCCCTCTTCCCCGAAAGTGACAAAACTCATTAGATCGGTCGCGACTCTCGAAAACATTTTCTATGTACGTACGAGTGTTTTTGACCATGCAGCGATTAGTTTTGAAGAAAAAAGGAGTAAAAAAAAAAAAAAGGAAAAAGAATATAACAAAAAAAAAAGAAAAAAAAAAAGAAAAGGTTACTCCTCGCGAAGAATGATCCCTTTGTTACGACTAGCATATATGAGCATATCCTCATATTCGTGAGGTGGTCGGTCAACGAATTAAGAAATTAAATGACCAACTTCATTATGTATAATGCGCTCTAATTAGGCGTGGGCGACACCCTAAAGTCCCGCTACGTTAATTGTTCTTAGCCTGCGCGGCTTCTCGATTGATGCTCATCATCTTAGACCGCAGTGTTTTTCAAATATTTCTCTTTCCTCTCTTTCTCTCTCTCTCTCTCTCTCTCTCTCCCTCTCTCTCTCTCTCTCTCTTTCACATGTACGTATAGTATAATAGCGAATGATCATTTGGAGAAAAAGAAAAAGAAAGCATAAAACAAAAAAAAAAAGAATTGGAAACGAAAGCCGAAACAAGACCGCACCGACTTCCTTGGGACTTATTAATATAATTGATCGGTTCTCGGTCCTGACAGGTCTGACCCAGAAGAAAAAGAAAAAAAAAAAGAAAAAAGAAAAAAAAAAGCGTACCGAATGCATGCTCTCACTCAACCAACGAATCATCATCGAGTCCAAAATTTTCGATCGAGATTCATCGTTCACGTCAGCAACACAGCAGCCACGGTGACTATTCCGAAAATCTAATAATAAGTTCATTAATTCGTTCTCCTACCGACCCAACGAATTAACTCGACCCGCTCGACCGCTCTTAAATACTTAATAAAGTCCAAACTGATCCTGCCGCAATATTAGTCGCTTGAAATCGGAGAAGAGGGGAGAGATGAAGGGGAGGGAGGAGGGTTGATGTGGGAGAGCGAAAAGGGTCGAGGACAGGTGAAAGAGAGAAAAAGATAGAAAGCAATGTAGGAGGAACGATAGATAAAAGGAGATAAGGGAGCTGACCGAACTGAGAGGTCCGAAAGAGAGAAAGAGAGAGAATGAAAAAGAGAGAGAGACGTTTCTCTCCGGATATCTAGCTGATCAAGGAATGCGGCAGGTGACGGCAGCAGCTCGCGAGATACAAGAAGAGAAGACGTCTCTTGTTCGGGATAAACTAAATGCTAAGAAATTCCTCCGTTCTTTTTTTTTTTTTTTTTTTTTTTTTTTTTTATTCTTTTCTTTGATCTATCATCGTCGAACGGATAATCGTCCATACTAGTCATGGCAAATTTATTCAACGTCACTGTTATTCCGATCATTCCAAAATTTAAGACATGCAGTATTCTTAAATCATGTGTAAGAAATAAAAAAAAAAAATAAAAGAAATAAATAAATAAATATGTAGAAAACAAAGTAAAAATATTTGAATGTAAATTCAACGATAATTTCGCATTAATGGTCATAAAAAAAAAGAAAAAAAAGAAAAAAAAAAGAGGAAAAGGAAAAGAGGAAAAGGAAAAGAAAAAAAGAAAGGAAAAAAAAGGAGAAGTGAATTGAATTTGAAAATGGTAATGGTGAACTTACCTTTTTGTCATAGTAGCGTTCTGTATTCGTCAGATCGACGATACATTTCAGACGCGGAAACGCTTGCAGCAGTATCGTCGCCGTGAATCTGTAACAACGTACATGGGGGAGAAGCCCCCCCATGTTATAAATGTGAACGTTTTCAATTTATTGATAGCATCGTAAACGATGCATTACATCGCGTCGTCGTAAAACATAAGAAAACGACGTCTTCCTTCTTCAATTGTGAATGAAAACAAAAAAAAAAAAGAAAAAAAAAAAGAAAAAAAAAAGAAAAAAGAAAGAGAAGAAAAGGAAGTTTTTCATAGGTAAAATTATATTATATATTATATATTATATATATAGGTTTACATAGGTAAATCTATGTAAACGTTACTCTAATATTACCGCTTGTATATATTAGAGTAGAATATTTTTCGGAGACCCGATCAAAGGGTTAAAGGAAATAGAGGAGGAAAACAAAATAGTATATATATATATATATATATATATATATATATATATAGATAAATATATAAATAGATAGATAGATAGATAGAAAAAAAAAAAAGAGAGAAGAAAGGATAAACGAAAAGGGCTCGAAGACGACAACGACGACGACTCGATGATATATCGCAGCTGGAAAGGGATTTCTCTCGGTTGGTACCGACAGAAATAAAAGAGGCCGGATTAAGGCGGGGGTGTCGGCCCAAATAGTTTCACCATACCCTTCGATATATCAAAAAGCTTCTGAGAGAATCTCTCCAGGTGCGTTAAGGGCTCTGTTCTTTTCTGTCTCTTATGCATCGAGCACGGGCCGAACGCTTTGTCTATGGGACACGGATGAGAACGAAACTGAACGAACCCCCATAAATAAACAACCCTCTGTCTCTCTCTCTCTTTCTCTCTCTCTCTCTCTCTCTCTGTCTCTCTGACACTTACACACTCACGCTCACACTCAGATTCTCTCTCTCTCTCTTTCTCTCTTACACACACATACACATATTCCTTCTCTTCAGTTTCATCGTAAGCGTTCTCGAAGTTATTAAAAGAAGGTGCTGCGGAATTTATTGACAAAGAGAATCGGTTCGATTCGAGATATATTACGAGAATATTGGGCTAATACGATTCGACGAAGATTAAAGTTCTGAACGAATGAGAAAGTGAGAGGATCAACGCGGGCGCCGTTAAAGTCACGCCAACATCTTCATTTTGTTCTATTTTGTTTCATTCTCTTTCTTACAAGACTTCTCTTTCGTTAATACTTGTTTAATTTTCAATGATATACACATGATTTTACGCTCATTGTTATATCGAAATATCGATCTTTTCACGTCAGGCTTTATAACACTCACCTTTGTTCGGGCGTTAAATTGTTGACTACGGC